AGGAAGAGCAGCTATTGGATCTTGTGTTTTTTCTGTAAGCAATAGAGAAGCTGGCTGCTGCTCTCCTGTTCTTGTTCGTTGCACTCTAACAATGTCTGGTTACTGATAGACAATAGAGGAGCTTTTAGCCCTCTGTAAATGGATCATTGTACCCCATGAGTGGGAGGAGCAAAGAATGGCAATATCTTGCCAATTCGGCTTGCTGCCTCAAAAGATAGTCTTTGCTGTAAATCTCAGTCTTGGACACTGCTCATTAGTTGAGTCAGAAAGGAGCTTTCTTTACCTCAGTGGTATAAGCTTTTAACAGAATTGTTATGAAGAGCTAAGGAGGACTCTTTCACAAATGGAAAGTCAGCTCTGTCAGTGTTTGCAAACTGATGCTGTTTGCCTCAAGGTAGGTAGATTACTGAGTAGGGATGTTGGATATCGGTTAACTGAATAGTGGTGTAACTGCATGAATTCTTATGTTACATAACTATTCAGTAGTCCTCAGGGGTGGGGCCAGGGAGTCCCTTGTCACTCCTTACTGCTGCCTCTTCATCAGAGGCGGAAGTGCTGGGTGGCTGTCTGGAGCCAGTCCACTAGAGGAGCCAGTTTAAAAATCAGCTCTCTTTGGAGACCAGCTTCCTGCCAGTCCGTGGGGATCTTGCTATCAGAGCCCAGCCTCTCTGTGGGGAGCTCAGACCTCCCCCCACAGACAGGGGTTGCTGCCATGAAGCACACTCTGCCTGTGGCAAGCCTGGGCCTGCCACAGGCAGATGCTGCTCTGTGGGATGCAGAACAGCCTCTGTCCACAGGGAGCTTGAGGCCACTGTGTACAGAAACTTTCTTTGTGGCAGCTTCCCTCCTCCCCTGCTGCTGCCTCAGAAGCAACAGCAGGTGGGGGGGGGAGTGACAGGCAGCACTGGAGCTAGCCTGCCCCCCCCCCCCCCTGGCTCCTGCTCCCCACTTTGCTGCCTCTGGCTACATATAGATGCAGGCTTCTTTTGGAAGAAATTTCTCTGGAAGAGCTCTTCTGAAAAAACTTCTTCTGAAAGAGCATCTAGACTGCTAAAGTGCATCAAAAAAGCTCTTTCAGAAAAAGGCTTCTTCCTCGTAGAAAGAGGTTTACCTATGTCAGAAAAACCCCTCTGTTCTTTCAAGTTTTTTCTGAAAACGCAATTAAAGTGTGAATGTAAGTGACCTTTTTTGGGGGAAAAAAAACAGCCTGTAGCGTAGATATAGCGTCTATAAGAAGTAGCAAGGCGGGGGATGCATATCATCTACAAGGTTAACCAATAAGCCTAAATTATTGTTAATCTAGGGGTGGCCAACCCGTGGCTCTCAAGCCACATGCAGCTCTTCAAAGAAGAAATTGTGGCTCCCACATCTGGTTCGTGGCTCTGAAAGGGGCAGTGTTTCTGTCTGTTTTGTGCAACAACTCGGCTGTATCCGGAACTACTTTGGCTCTTCATCTGTAACATGTTTTCCACTCCTGAGTTAATCGGATAGTTGACTACACATTCCTATTACTGAGTAGCTTTCAAAGAGTAAAATGAGAAGATCTAACTTTTTTTCTTCCTGCTAAAAACCCACTGCAAGACTAGCTGCTAATGTAGGCTAGGCTATAGTAAACATTTCTTACTGGCTACTTTATGCTACTCTAAGGGTGTTTAAAGTTTTCATAGAAGAAAAGGATCAAGAAATAAGGAATCCATCTACATGAGTTGGGGGAGGGAGACATTTCAGTAGGAAGTTTCAAATGCCACCAAGCTGATTAGCTGAGCACCTGGAACTGGCAGCATGTGTTTCTACTGGTGGTGCACATCTATACATGCCTCAGGACACATAACCAGTGCTTCTTTTGTGACGGTATGCCCCAGGACAGCGTACTGGCACCTGTTTTTCCCTGCATAACTTAAATGAATTGCATTCGCCTCAGGCATACCGGCACCTCTTCTCCTGCGGCGGCTGGGTTCCCCACGAAAGCCTGCTTGGGACATGTGGCTCTTAAAGGGGCCATGATGGCACTTTTGGCCCCCGGCGTGGCTTTTATAATTAAGTAAAGCTTGGGCTTCCTTACTCCTAATTCTCCCCCTTTAACTCCTTGACTACACTATAACTCCTGTATGAATAGGCTATACATATGCACATTCTTCACCAATTAGTCAATCCCTGAAGACCAGCACCTAAGCAAAATCTGTCATCGATGTATTAGAATACATGTAGGACACATCTTGCTATTTTAAGACCAAAAGCTGCTCAACCCTAACCCTGTAGAATAAGCACAATGCAACAATAATTACTGCACTTTAAACTAGTGTTTAACTCTTCAAGTGTGGCACCTATGTAGGAGGAAAGACTAATGCCCTGTAGGAGAAAAGTACTATGAAGCTAGAAAAAACTAGCAGTAAGGCACATTCTGTAGTAGGGCTTGCTATCTAAATTCAGGTTTCTAAGTTGAGGGCTTTATTTATGGAACTTTCATTACTGTTTTCAGCTGTTACTTTAGATCAAGGGTGGTCAGAATTATTTCCCATCTCTAACATTTTAAGTTTTTAATGCTGCACAAAACTGGAGAGCAGAACTTAAAGCAACGATAGTACTTCATCAACTATTCTGACTTACTCCATCAGTGAGATGAATGAATAAGTTAGATGTTTCCAGAAATTCTCTCAAGAATACAAAAAAAAAAATCTTTAATCTGTATCTCTGTACCTAAATAGCACCTAGAGTGGGGATTCTCAAGACAACTTTTTGGTGGCCTCAGTGTGGTCACCAATGTTTGTTGGTGGCTGCTTAGACTTTTTTCTAAAATATTGCATTAGCATTGTGGGGAAATAAATATGCATGTAAACACATCCAAATCATTGTATAAACATCCAAATCGTTGTAACTTATTGTTAGCTAGCAAATCTACTGTGAAAATCAATATTAATAAACATACAAGTATCACATTTCATAGCAGACTTGCTTCATTCCACGGGATAAATTATGTGCAGAATGGGAGGCAGCAAGGGGGATGGAGCTAGAAGCCCCACTACTGGGTCTGGCTATTGCATAGCTGGAACCCAGGGCTGGCGCTTGAAGCCCCTCAGCCAGAGCCTGCTACCCCACTTGTCCAATCCCAAAGCCTGGGAAGTTGGGGAACTCATAGTGCCTGCTCCTCCAGCACTGTGCCCCAGTTGTCTGCAGCGGGAGGCAGGATCCAATCCTTGCTGGCTTCCCCAGCAACCAATATTAAGGCAGGACACCTAGGAGTAACGGAGAGGAAAGGGCTGCTACTCCATACTTTCTCTCCCTTGTCTCCATGAAGGAGACTGTAGGAACAAGAAATGCTGACCTAAAGGCTGTAACAGAGCAGCCATGTTAGGCCAGAAATTCTGAGTATAGGATTGTCTTACTAACAGAACAAGACTGAGAAGAAGGCATATCTTTCTTTACAGATGAGGAGATAGAGAAAGTCACTTAGCCTAAGTCAGGTCAATTCCTGAGCCCTGGTCCAGTGTCCTCATCTCAAGACCATTCTTCTCCATCCTCTTAATTGGTATTGTGAAATGCTAAATTTTCTATGGCTTTTTGCAATCTCTGGCGATCTAATTCTTATTCAAACACTTGTGGACCTCTTGTGAGCTAGGCAGCTGCCTGTGCCTAGCTGGGTACCTCATTGCAGTACAAAGATTTCAACAGACTGTAAATTGGGACCATTCTGTAGTAAGAACACCTTAATGTTAAAGGGAAGCACATCTTGGTAGCACACAACTCTGACTAGCATCCTTTGTGTAGTTTTGCTTTGTTCTAACTTAACTTTAGTGAATGTTGTGAACCGCTTTAAGCATCTAGGTAATTAACTCTACCAGCTTCTGAAAACAGAACTTGCTTGGTATAACATCAAAATATCCACTAAATTTTTCTTTAAAAAGCCTGTTGTGACTCTCTTGCGATAGGGGGCATGAGCTGGAAACAGGCACTTATGAATGTCCCTGCCACTTGAGTCTGACATTGTGTTCTTGCCAGTCGCCCTTTTGTGCAGTGGTGTGACTCCAGACTTGCTTGCCATTGGCCTGCCCTCCCTCCCCTCAGTCAAGTATGGCTTGTCTGCTAGTTACCTTTAGCCTAGTGGGCAGGAGCTGTTGGTCTCAGCATGTGACTATGGCCTGAGAGACCTTGGCTGAGAGGAAAGCAGCAGCTGAGCTGACAGCAGTACTTTTCCCCTCCCATCTCTGTAGTCTGTTCCTACTGCAGTCTGTCATTAGTATTTGATGGCAGAGAGCAAAAAAGACTCTCCAGTGCATTTTTCTGTATATAAGCAGCAGATAAAAATCAATTTCCTACGCTTATTCACTTGCCTTGCTCGACTACGTAAAACTTCTTGAAATGTCAGTTTGTTCTGCTGTGTGAACAAATATACTCTGTCATAATGGGAAATGGGATGCCTCTAACATATCTGGTGGCTCTTCATAGGTCAGTTGTGACGACAGCTCACTTCAATTAGCTGTGGAAAGTTCAGCCTAAAAGCTTAACTAGCTGGACTTGCAAGGTGGAAAATGCTGCTGCTGTTGTGTTACCAAGGACTTAAGGGGCTTGGCCACTCGTTTTGGCACTTGAAAGCATAGTGTTCAAATGTAGGCAAAAAACAAAGCAAAGGTCTGCTTAGGCTTCTAATCCTCAGGTTAGATTCCAAATGTTGATGAAGCAGTTTTAAAACATAGCTATTTCATATGTGACACAAGCACAGTCTACTATAAATAACTTTCCCTTGAGATAGTAATAGTTTGGTTACAGTGTAGCATGTGCCAGCAATTGGCTTAGAATTAGAGTATTTTAAAGCTCTGATCCATCTACTTTTATTTAATAAACTGGTCCTTTTGTTATCCAGAATTCATATTCACTAATAGTTGTCTATCTGAAACAGTGCAGAGAACAAAAAGTTGTAGGACAAAATGTTATCCCACCTGTTGGGGGCACATAGGGCAAGTTGAAAGGAATTGTCATATATAAAACTGTTTCTCCTATAACAGACATCTGCATAAGGAACAACCGCAACCAACCACAATGCAAGCACATGAATTGTTCAGACATCTGCGAATGCCAGAACTTGATGATGTCAGACAATATATGCGCACTCTTCCAACAAATACATTGATGGGATTTGGAGCATTTGCAGCTCTTACAACATACTGGTATGCCACAAGACCCAAAGCTCTGAAACCACCATGCGACCTAGCCATGCAATCTGTGGAAGTAGAGGTAAGCACACTTCTGTCTAGCCATGCTTAGAGCAGGCATTGTTTAAAACTTGAGGTACTACAGTGTGTAACCCCACAAGATGGCTAGTGATGCATCTATCTACACCTGCTCTCTTTGTGTATGGGAGTAAGGGGCAAGAATAAAACTTTTACATTAGGCAATTTCTGTAGGTTTGAGTTCTTCTCACTCTTGGTAGAATATCTTGAGTTCCTTGATTGCTATTAGGCTTCAGTCTAAGAATTATTTCCCTTGTAGTTTGGCTTAATGATTAGCACAAGCTTTGTCAGAACCAATAAACATGAAACCACTTTTCTTCCTTAACCACTGGGTAACTATGTCCATATACATAGTTAGTATTCTTGGACATTAAGATTTTGTTGCAGTAGTCTCTTCTCCAGGTTAGTGGCTACATAAGTATAGAGATCAAACACTTGAATATGCCTGCTGTTTGTTAGGCTTTTTATTGGCTTTCAGCAAGAGATAGGCTAGTCCTCTTTAAACTTGCACCTTATTTTTGGTAGTTTAAACTGTCTTTTTTTTTTTTTTTTTTTTAAAAGGTTGATCATCATACAAGGGGTTCTGGGCTTCTTTGAACCCTAGTGATCACTAGAGCCCTGCAAATATGCAGATGTCTGCTTTATAGCCACAGATGTGAATGCGGGTGTCCATAGTACACTTCTGAAGATGTGGATACGAATTTGGTATCCATGTAGAGCTCTAGTGATCACAACACATAGCAATCCTCTCCATAGCTTTGCTTAACCCAGGATTTAGGTTATATTTAGACTAAACTAATCTTTCAGTCTAGCATAAAAATCAGGAATTTCTTGCACAGATATTCTGCCTCTAAAGAACAGTCACTGTATTGCAGGTGTTAAAGTAGCTAGAATTTGGCAACCTTAGTGCTCAAAGTCTGGATTAGACACTAGCATTCTGCTCTGCCTTTTTAAGTAAAGACACTGAGCCCCGGTCCATTTCTCTTCAGAAAGAATTCATTTTGATTACTCCTTTCCAGCTAGTTACTACTATAAGAGCTTGACCCTGACACTCTGATCCTATTTGCAATACAGAAATCTTACTACATTTAGTCATACTTTTTATGTATAGCTGAATGGAAAGCATTTTATGCAATTCTAAAAGTGCATGACTAGCAAGATACTGCACTATCCTAGCTGTAAGTTTCATCTCAGGAGTATTGTCCATTGATAACTACTCCCTTAATTGTGCCTGCAGATGATCCAGGCACACTTGATATTGCCTAGTCAAACCTAGACTGACCTTTTATCTATATTTGGAGGCTATCTGAACAATAATAACGATCAGCTTGATAGCCATGCACCTTGCTTAAGTACATGCAGAATTCCACATTAGAATCTGAAGGCCCAAAAACTCTTGAGGACTGGGCAGTAAAGGAATCTTTTCAAATGACAATGTGGATTATGCTATGAAGTTGCCTTTTGTAGCACTTTATATAAATCTAGATCAACTCTCTAGGGCAGTGTTTCTCAACTAGTGGTATGAGTACCCTTAGGGGTACTCAAGAGAAGACCAGGGGCGGGGTATATCAACACAACTGGAATTTGGAGAACTGAATTTTTGTTTAGTTTTACAGTGCTTTATTATTTTTGTACTCTTTACATTCAAATATTTCATTGCCTGCCTGGCTACGATTAAGTTGTTTAAACAAATGTGTTGCAATGGTAGAAAAAAGTCTGAAAACTGTAGGTACTGGGGGTACTTCATAAAATAAAAAAGTTGAGAAACAGTGCTCCTAGAGCACACTAGTGACCTCTAGTGTCTCTAATGATGTCTGATTTCATAACTCTTCCAGAAATACGGCCCACTGAGCCTTCAAATATTGGTCCGTGCCATGCATGCAACAATTGGGAGGACTGCTTCATATTTTCCAGTTGCATTCTAAGGATTGTATCATGAGTGTTCATGGGTACAACCCACCTACGAAAGCTCATGATACCATCTACGTGCTTTGTTAGCCTTTAAGGTGCTGCTAGACTATTCATAGTCTGTAACTGGAAAAACTCAACAAACTTGGCTACCCTTCTGAAGATTATAAGGATTGCCACTTGCACTACTAGCTTCAGGCTTTTTTTATTGATCATAATAAAAGGGGATCTGTTGGGGGTGGGGGGTTGTCTTCTATTATCAATGGGAAGACACAAGGCTAGCCTGTTTGCTGTAATGTTGTTGTTTATTGGATTTCTGACTAAGTTGCAGGCAGTCCTGTTTTTCTAGATTTGGGGGGAGGGGAAGTATCTGGTGAAAGGTGCCAAGCTTTGAAGGACTTTAGGGCAAGAATTTTAAATGTGGATGTTTAAGGTGTCAAAGAGTTGTGCTCAGAACTGGTGGAGCTCGTGAGAAGATCTTTCTGGATTTCATAACTCGTTATTCTCTTTTGAAACCTCTTTGGGCTCAAACTAGCCACCAGACGCTTCATGTTATTCCTGCTTCCAATATGTCCTATTATTCTCCCAATCTATAAACATATATACAACTTTTTTAGGGTGGCGAGCATGCTCGAAGATCATCCCTGCTTCACAGTGATGAGCTGTTGACATATTACTATGACAATGTGAGAACAGTCTATGAAATCTTCCAAAGAGGCTTGGAGGTGTCAAGTAAGTCTCTTTTGTTTACTGTTCATAAAAAAACAAAACTGTCTCTTCATTAAGAATTTCTGGGGTCTGAGACAGAGGAGGCTTCAGGATCAGCTTGTATCTTGTTTAGTAGACAACTAATGCTCTAGCATACTAGGAAGACAAAGGTAATGCTTCAGACATCCAGAAAACAAAACTGACTGGTCTGATGTGAAGCAGGGCTGTGCAAGAAAAGTCCAACCTAGAGCACACTCCATTCAGCCGAATGGGAACAAATGTAGGTTTTGGCTTCTATTAGACTGTCTCCCATCAGGGTTAGGCATTATCTGAACTGAACAGCTAAAGTTTCAAATAATTGAAAGGGAGACAACAGTTATAGCCTGAACAAACTGGAATAACTGACACTCTTTTCTCCCAAGATAATGGTCCCTGTTTGGGTGTTAGAAAACCAAATCAGCCATATGAATGGATCTCTTACAAAGAGGTAAGTAGCCACTCTAGTTCTTGATCTTAAAACAAATTTGGCTTTCTCTCTTGGCATGATCATAGTAAAATACCAGTGATGTAAAATCTTAAGACTTTTCAGCTTTTTCAAGTACTCGCACATTCACATTGCCCTGACTCTGTGAAAAATATTGCAAGGAGTGGGGGGACCAGATTTCTGTTTTCAAAGGGACAGTCCCTTATTTAAGCCTTTCCACAGGTGCCCTAACTTTCTTAAATGGATGAATAAATGCAGCATATAGAGCTGGACTTTTCCCTGCTGATCCATCAGCACAGCCCCCCACTGCAAGCCAGCTCGCATCCAGCAGGACTCCATCCCACTTCTAGCTAGCACTGGCTTCATGCTGTGAGTGGCAATGGTTGGTGAGGTGTGGGGAGCAGCCAGTTACATGTTGTCTCTGCTGTACACCAGTCAGCCCTTTTTATGTGGTCCTCTCACTGTCCTCTCTGCTTTTGCCTCTTTGCCTTCCCCAGCTCCATTGCTCCTCCATGTTTTTCCCCTTACAGAGCATGTCACACTCCCAGTGCTATGCAGAGAGCCAGTCTGTGACAGTAATACTCAGCACTGGTGAGGAGGATGTAAGCCCTATATGTGCCATGGTCCCATACAGTGCTGGCACACTGGAGCCTCTCTGCCCCTCAGCTAAGCTCGGGAGTGATTTCCTGCCTGTTCACACCCCACACGGATTTCTACCTTGTTCACGTCTTGAACCTGCAGGCTCCATAGCAACCACTCAGCAGGGGCTTGGGGGTGTGTAGGACACCACCTGACTGCTGCTTAGGAGAGGCTTGGCACCCTCCCTTGCTGAGCCACCACTCTGGCCCCATTTGCTGCTTCCTTTGTTGCATTCACTGGGCCCTAGTGCACAATGTGTTTAGGCCTTATTCCTCCCTGACTACACTGTGTCCTGGGGACAGGAGGAGGCTGAGTTGTCAGTGGGGCTTGCTGTCTTTTTGATACTGTGCAGGGAGGGACAAACTGCTTTTAGCCACATGGCAGGGTGGAGGGAGAAATGAGCTACTGTAAAAGAGGGAATGGCATGAAAAACATTTCATAGAAGCCTGTGCTTTTTCTGACTGCACACCTGACTGAACAGTCCTCGATACTGATGGGGTACCTCAACCTATTCCACAAATGGTAAGAGCCCATCTTTGAGTTAATCACTTCAAGACTGTTCCTGAGAGATCTAGCCCATACCACTGACTCATTTAAAAGGAAGAATCTTCCAGGTGCTGCTTAGACAGCCTTTTTCCCTGTTGGTCAAGCTCAGTGGTTTTCAACCAGCTTACCATTGTGGGCCCCACATGCAGCTTTGTGTGGATGTGGCCCATATAATTATGGCCCCTGAGGCTGTTGCATGTCTGCAATTGTGTGCTGATTGGGCTGCAAGCTGCCTGCTGATTAAGAACTACTGGTCTAGCTGTTGCAAACATGATTAATGCCACATGGGGAAAACCCTGGATTTAAACTTCAAAGCTTTTGAGGCACTCCAGAAAGAACAAGTGTGTAGTATTGTTGGGAAAATGTGCAGAACACAAGAAGCACATGACTTAACAGCTTTTGACATCTACAGCAGTTGGGAACCGGCCCTAATGTAATGTAAATCTTTTTGAACAGGAGTCCATTTCTGACTACAGTTCTAAAAACTAGGAGCAGCGCCATGAGGCTAGAACTGAGTAGTTCTTGCCTCTCCAGTTGATTTTATCACGCTCCAAACTTGTAATAAGACTTTCCTAGTGTGTACTGCTGCTCTCTAAAATAGTCCTGGCTGCTAGAATTTTCAGTTGGAGAAAACTCTCTCTCCTTCAAGAAAGAGCCCATTTAAGTCTTTTTTTTTTTTTTTTTTTTTAACAGGAATCTTCACACTATAGGATAGCGGCTCTGTCTCATGTGCTGTATGTAATCACATAGTGTATACTTGCTTGTGTAGTATTCTGGTTCTAGATGAAAGGATGGCAACTCCAAATTGGCTGTAGGCATGACACTAGAACAGAAAAACAGGCTTAAATAGCTTTGAGTTATTGGGACACACAGTTTTCAAGTATGATATTTTGTATTCTTCAGTGCCAATTTGAATAGTGAACCAGGTGGATGACATGCACGCTGCATGGCTGAATCAAGTAGAATTTAGAAGTTGAAATCCATTCCAGTATTTCATTCCTTAGGTGTACTGCAGATGTACCTAGTTGTATCAAATGGAAAGCCCTCAGAATAGTGTCTTGACATGAATGACTGTTAACCACTCTGCTGTTGACTACTGTAGTTGGACTGTAGAGAACTTCCTCCAGTGATTTGACCTAAAATAAGATGAGTATTGAAATGACTAAGTCATGGAAACATCCAAAAATAAAAGCCAGTGGAATCTTTCCTTGCATTTAAAATCCCAATACATAGTGTAAAACTAATGGATTTGAAATGTGTTCTGAGGAGTTGGGTGTTAACTTTAGTTGGCTTTCTGTTTCAGGTATCAGAGAGAGCAGAGTATGTGGGTTCAGCACTACTCCACAGAGGCTACAAGCCAACCCCGGACCAGTACATAGGAATCTTTGCACAAAATAGACCTGAGGTAACTAAAGGAAGAACATGTTAGTGACTTAAAATAAATTGATCCATTCAAAGTCTGAAAATATTGGACAGTGCACTAATCTTAGTACAGGAAATATATTGAAGGTAGCAGGGTACTATCCTATAAGCCAGTGGCTTTCAAATGTGTTCTCCTGATCCAGCTGAAGAAAACTATGATGCCTGTGGCCCAACATAATTTGACAAGAGTGTAAGCTCCAGGGTGGGGACTGAAGATGAGAGCTTTGGGTGAGGGTCAGGGCTGAAGCAGGAGCGGCTGATCTCGAGTGGCTCCCACTCAGCGGTGCAGCTGGGGTGCTAAGGCAGGCTTCCTGCCTGTCCTGGCACTGCAGAACATGCTGCATTCCAAAAGCAGCCAGCAGCAGAGTCCCAGCCAGTGGGAGTGCAGAGCTAGTGCACAGAGCCCTGTATCCTCTTCTTGTCCCTTTTCTCCCCTAGGAGCTGGGCCTGCTTCTGGGGCACAGCACAGTCTGCAGTGCAGGACAGGCAGGAAGTCTTGTTAGCATCCCCACTGATCATCCTGCAGCAGCAAGACCCAGTGCCTGACATTCCCAGGTCACAATCCATTGAAAACCACTGGCATAGGCTTACAAATATACATGTGGCAGCTATCCTTAGGAAAACCATGCTTGGTAGCTACTGTGTAGTAGTTACTCCTCCTGACACATCCATTGACACAGGCTCTTTC